TATTTTCACAAAGAACCAGCTCTTGGTTTCATTGATCTTTCAGATTGTTTTTGGGTTTCCATATCGTTAATTTCTGCTTTAAGTTTTATTATTCCTTTCCTCCTGCCTGGTTTGGGCTCCTTTTTTTGGTCCTTTTCTAAGATCTTGAGCTGTGAGGTCAAGTTATTTATGTGGGCCCTTTCTTCCTGCTTGAGAAATGCTTTGCAGAGCTATATTTTTTCCCCCTTAACACTGCTTTAGCTTTGTCCCACAATTTCCAGTAGCTCATGTCTTCATTTTCATTTGTTTCTAGGTATCTTTTGATTTCTTCCTTGATTTCTTCCCTGACCCATTCATTGTTCAACATTGAGCTGTTTAATTTCTAGGCATTTGATTTGATTCTCCTTTTCTGTGTGTGATTAACTTCTATCTTCAGTGCATCGTGGTCTGAAAAGATAGTTTATACAATTTCTATCTTCCTGATTCTATTGAGGTTTGATTTGTGGCCCAGCACGTGGTCTGTCTTGGAAAATTTTTCGTGTACACTGGAAAAGAATGTGTATTTGGGTTTTTTTTTTTTTGCATAAAAAGCCTTGTAATATGTCTGTTAGCCTTCTCTCTCCTATTTCTTCTTTCAAAGCCAGTACTTTCTTGCTGACTTTTAATCTTGTTGATCTACGAAGAGGTGATAAGGCCATGTTGAAGTCTCAAACTACTACTGTGTTGCTACCAATGTCCTCCTTGAAATCTATTAGCAATTGTTTTAAGTATTTTGCTGGTCCCTCATTAGGTGCTTATATGTTTAGGCATGTGATTTCTTTCTGATATAAATATCCCTTGATTATTAAAAAAATGGTGCTCGCTATCCCTTCTATTCTTTTTCAGCCTGAAATCTATGTTGTTGGGTACTAGTATGTCGGATACTTGGAGTATGGCCACACAAGCTTATTTGAGGGAGTTGTTTGCTTGCAGGATTGTTTCCCATCCTTTGACTTTGAGTCTGTGCTCACTCTGACTATTCAAATGTGTTTCTTGTAGGCAGCAGGATGTTGGGTTCAGTTTTTTTTAATCCATTTTGCCACTCTGTGTCTCCTAATTGGTGCATTTAGACCACTGACATTGAGAGAGATTATTGTCATGGAGTTTTGTGCCATCTTTCTGTAGAGGTTTGTTGTCCTTGTTGGGGATGGTCTTGTCCTGCAGTAGCCTCTTTTGCCCTTCTTTTAAGGCTGGTTTTGAGTCTATGAAATTCCTGAGCCGTTGTTTATACATGAAATAGTGTATTGTTCCTTCAAGTTTGAGTGAGAGGTTAGCCAGATAAAGTATTCTTGATGAGGCATTCATTTCATTGAGTTCTTTTTTTTTTTTTTACTATATCCCATTGTCTTCGGGCTCAGACGGCTTCCTCTGATAAGTCTGCTATAAATCTAAGGGATGGTCCTTTGTGATTTCCTTCTTTGACCTTGCTGCTTACAGTATTGTGTCTCTATCTGTATTCATCATTCTGATTATTATATGTCTTGGAGTCTTTTTATTAGGGTCTCTTTTAGCTGTACCCTTCAGGATCCTTAGATCTGGGTGCCTGCATTCTCCAGCTCTGGGAACTTCTCAGCATTGATATTTTTAACTGTTGCTACTTCATTGGGGTTGTCTCCCTGTCCTTCTGATACTCAGATGATTCTTATGTTGTTCCTCTTGAGTTCATCCTCTATGTCTCTGATTCACCCTAGAGCTATTTTGAGGTCTTTTTCAATTGTATGTTGTTCCCTGTATGCTTTCTGCAGCTCATCTTCAAGCTCATTGATTCTGTCTGCGGCTGTTGTCATTCTGCTGTTGAGGGCACCCACTGAGTTTTTTATTTCATCTACTGTATCCTTTATTAGTGACACTTCTGTTGTAACTTTTCTTATTTCTTCTCTCATTTCTTCCTGTATTTTGTTGACTGTTCATTCCACTTTTCTTTCATGTCCTCCTTTAATTTACTGGATGCCTGTTCCACCGTTTCTTTGAGTTCATTGAACATCCTCAACATTTCATCTGTGAATTCTTTATCTAAGAGATTGTATTAGTGGGTAACCCCTTGTTGGGGCTTCTGGACTCTTCATCCACTCCTTGTGGTGGGAATTTGAGCTGTTTCTTCATGTATGGAAGTGGGATCCTCCAGTTCACTATTAGTGTCCCCCTCTCACTGCGAGAAAGGATTCTGGATGAGCTCGGTCAATGGTGGTCACCTCTTGGCCCTTCTAGAATTTCTCTTTGGTGCTACTCTGTGACTTAAGTGAGGCCTCTAGTTCATCTTCAGAGGATGTGTTATTTTATATTAGGCTTGTTCAGATTCTGTGTTCACCATTATCTTGGTGAGATTGGAATAGGCTAGTGGACTATTGGCCTAACGTGTTTGGAATAGCCATGCTGTCCTCCTTAGAATTAGGTAATGGAGACTGAGATATGAGTCAAAGTGCTGAGATAAGGGAAAATAAGACTGGCTGCCACCTCAGAGGCCACGCCCCTCTCCCCCCCTTCTGCCGCTGTACCTGTGGGTGAGTTGGCCACATCAGTGCCTGTGCAGGATTAAAGTCCCACTTCTGACTCAGTCCTAAAACTTTCCAGGATCCCCTCTGGCCTGGGTGCTTGGGTGACATTTTGGCCAAGAGGGGGTCTTGCAGTTCCCTGGGTCGACTTTCTGGACACGCAGTCCTGGAGGCCTGTTCATGATGATTTGTTACATTCAATATACCCACACAAATCCCATCACCATTGCACCTTCCCACCACCATTATTATTTCCAGTTTTCCCAACCACCCCCTAAGCCTGACCCCATAGCAGTCCCTCAATAATTTATTTTATATTGCTTGTTATAATTTGCTAAAAGATTGATCAAAAAATGTTTCCTCAGAAGAAAGCAAAAATTGCATGTCTGATCATGGAACTATTAAGCCCTTATGCAAGAGATTACTAAGATGTTATTACAGGTTCAGCTTTCTGTGTAAATATTTTGTTAATCAAGATTGTATGCCTTCTACATTGCACCCCATGCAATTTGGTGTGCTACTCCTGGTTTATCAGTATTGTAGAGTTTGAGGTGTCTCATGGTCACAAATGTGGTTACCCATTTCAGGAAGTCTAGTTTTTTTTTCTTTTTGGGTCACACCCAGTGATGCTCAGAGGTTACTCTTGGCTCTGCACTCAGGAATCACTCCTGGCCATGCTTGGAGGACCATATAAGATGCTGGGGAGGTGACATAGCTTGAATTAAAATTTTAACTGAGTGTTGTTTTGGGGTATGTGCGTGACTGCTAGGGCTTCAGAGAAAGCCCATCCCTAACTCCATGAAAGCCTTGAAATTTCAGTCATAAAACCTGCATACCTGATTTTTTCAACCGATTAATTTCTGAATGAGGCTTGTCCCAAAAAGTGGAGTACACCCAGGAGTATGGTGGCAATTGTTAAGTGTGGAGGTTTTAGCTGTTGGAGTTCTGTTTAGGTGGATATTGGGTTCACCTGCCCCCCACACCAGGGAACCTCAGAAAACTCAACCTTGGCTGGTCCAGAAGAATCTCTGCAACTTGTTGATCTCTCGTGAGATTTATCATCAATAGTGATGATTCTTGGTTATTGTTTTGTTTTGTTGCCATACCAGGTGATGCTCAGGTGCTACTCTTGGTTTTGCGCTTAGGAATTACTCCTGGGGACCATTGGGATGCCAGGGATCAAACCTGGGTTGGCTGCATGTAAGGCAAGCAATCTACCCACTGTACTGTAACTCTTGCCATGACACTTGATTTTAACTTATAGGATAAAGTGTTATTAGTGATATAGTTAAATGAATTTAATGAGGGAGAAGGAATAGTGTATAAAGGAATAATTATGGTTAAGAAACAAAAAGAGAAAGAAAATTTTAAAAAATCACCACTAAGCAAACACCATGGATAATGATGATGATAATAATGATAATAAAGATCCACTGATGGATGCCACTATTTGTAGACTAGGCCAAAATCTGAGAAGAATATTCCATAGTCTCAAAGTGTCTCCCCCCAGTAATTATTCACAATAAATACTTATAGACTTGCTTGTGTGCATGTTCGTGAGTAAGAAGTCAATAGACATTCCCTTTATCAAGACATAAGATTATCATCAAAAATGACATCCAGGAGCTGGAGTGATAGCACAGTGGGGAGGGCATTTGCCTTGCACACGGCTGACCCAGGTTCAATTCCCAGCATCCCATATGGTCCCCTGAGCACCACCAATAGTGATTCCTGAGTGCATGAGCCAGGAGTAAATCCTGTGCATTGCTGGATATGACCCAAAAAGAAAAAAAAAGACATCCACCTCAGGACCCTCTTACTATCACGCACTGAGGACACAGTATTTCTCTGTCCTGAAAAATGAAGGAAAAAATGGAGCAACAGTACAGATCAGAGGAGATTAAGAAATGACTTGATGCAATCTCAGAAGCTGAATAATGTCTTAAAAGAAATGAAAAGATACTAGTGAAAAGACTGTTGAAATTAGAACATTGTCTGCTGTTCAGTTATCACTGGTCTTGATATTTCTACTGTGGTAAGATGCTAACAGTGGAGAACTATCATATGAGGAATATATGCTAAAGTCAATTCAAAAGAAAATCTTATAGAAGGGCTTAATAGCTCCTGGGTGAAATATAATATCTTCACATACTTTCCTCTAAGGAAACTTTTTTTGGATCATTTTTAGCAGATTATTCATAACAAGCAGTACAAAACAAATTACTTAGGTTCTGCTTTTGGGGCAGGGTTTGAGGTTTGGGATGGAAACATTCGAAATACGGTAGTGGGAAGGTGTAATGGCGGTGGGATTGGTGTTTGAATATTAAATGTAATCAATTATTGTGAACAACGTTATAAAAATAAAATAAAATTTAAAAAAGAAAAGAAAAATAAAAGCTTATAAATTAAATGAAAACATAAAGTACACAAAAGCAAACATTTCAATAAAAGTAAACTTTATTTTTGTTTTCCCTTTTGCAATTTCCACAGCGGAGCGACTTTCAAACAGCTGGCTGGATGTTCGCCACATTGAAAAATATGTAGACCAAGGTAAAAGTGGAACAAGAGAATTGCTTTGGTCTTGGGCCCAGAAGAACAAGACCATTGGTGACCTTTTACAGATTCTCCAGGAGATGGGGCATCATCGAGCCATCCACTTAATTACAAACCATGGTAAACACTTATTTCTTTTCTTTTTTTTTTTAATATTAGTGAAACACCATGAGGTACAGTTGTAGATTTACAATTTTTTGTGCTTGGGTTTCGATTATACAATGATCAGATACCCATCCCTCCACCAGTGCCCATTTTCCACCACCATGGATAATATCCCCCCCACCCCCATCCCCCCATCCCCTCCTGCCTCTGTGGCAGGGCATTCCCTTTGGTTCTCTCTCTCCTTTTGGGTGTTGTGGTCTGCAAAGGAGGCATTGAGTGGCAAACATGTTCAGTCCATAGTCTACTTTCAACATGCATCTTCCCTCCTGGGAGGATCCTCCAAACACCCTTTATTTGGTGCTCCCTTCTCTATCTGAGCTGCCCTTTCCCCTAGAATGCCCGGCTCGCCTCTAAGCTATGGAGTAATTCTCCTGGTGCTGATCTCAGCTATTCTTGGGTATTAATCTCATATTTTGTTACTTTATATCCCCCAGATGAATGCAATCTTTCTATGTCTATCCCTCTCTTTCTGACTCATTTCGCTTAGCATGATACTTTCCATATTGTACCACTTGTATGTAAATTTCATGACTTCATCCTTTCTAACAGCTACATAGTACTCCATTGTGTAGATGTACCAAAGTTTCTTTAACCAGTCATCTGTTCTTGGGCATTCAGGTTTCTTCCAGTTTCTGGCTATTGTAAAGAGTGCTGCAATGAACAAACAAGTGCAGATGTCACTTCGACTATACATTTTTGCCTCTCTGGGATATATTCCCAGGAGTGGTATTGCTGGGTCAAATGGGAGCTCAATTTCTAATTTTTTGAGAATCGTCCATACTGTTTTCCAGAAGGGCTGAACCAGTGGACATTCCCACCAACAGTGAAGGAGTGTCCCTTTCTCGACACATCCACGCCAGCATTGGTTGCTTTTGCTCTTTTGAATGTGGGCCAGTCTCTGAGGTGTAAGATGGTATCTCATTGTGGTTTTGATCTGCATCTCCCTGATGATTAATGATGTAGAGCATTTTCTCATGTGCTTTTTTGCCATTCAGATTTCTTCTTTGAGAAAGTTTCTGTTCATTTCATTGCCCCATTTTTGGATGGGGTTGGATGTTTTCTTCTTGTGGAGTTTAACCAGTGTTTTGTATATCCTGGATATCAATCCCTTGTCAGATGTGTATTCGGTGAATATCCTTTCCCATTCTGTAGACTGTCTTTGTATTTTGGTCACTGTTTCTTTGGAGGTGCAGAAGCTTCTTAGTTTAAGATAGTCCCATTTATCTATCTCTGTTTTCACTTGCTTGGCCAGTGGCGTGGCATCTTTGAAGATACCATTAGCTTCAATGTCATGGAGGGTTTTGCCAACTTTATCTTCAATGTACCTTATGGTTTCTGGTCTGATGTTGAGGTCTTTAATCCATTTTGATCTTACTTTTGTACATGGTGTTAGGCAGAGTTCTGAGCCTATTTTTTTGCATGTAGCCATCCAGTGATGCCAACACAATTTATTAAAGAGGCTTTCCTTACTCCACTTCATATTACTTGCACCTTTATCAAAGATTAGATGATCATATGATTGAGGGGAGATGTCAGTGTATTCAACCCTGTTCCATTGGTCTGCAGTTCTGCCTTGGTAAACTTATTTCTTATGCAGGTCTTAGTGCAGCGAATAGGAACTGTAATTTTAATGGAAATATTCCATTTTAGGGGCCAGAGCGATAGTACAGTGAGTAGTGTATCTGCCTTGCATGCAGAAGCCAGGGTTTCAGTCCCTGGCACTCCACATGGTCCCCCAACCACTGCCAGGACTGATTCCTGAGTGCAGAGCTGGGAGTAACTCCTGAGCATCAATGGGGGTGGCCTAAAAACCAAAAGGAAAAAAAAAAGGAAAAAATTCCATTTTATCCTCGATATTGGGTAGTCATATTCTGTATCACTTCCTCATCTGTGACTTTTATCTGAAGGGAACTTCACAGCTTCACATTTTGGCTAGCACTTACCTTATTGCCTATGTTAGAAAACGTATTGCTTTCTACTACTCTCTGGATGCAATTTGTTTTGGTTTTCCTTTGGGGATTACATCTGGTGGTACTTGGGGGAGATCCCCAGCTCAGTGCTCAAGGGTCACTCTTGCTGGTACTCAAGGAACCATGTAGTACTGGGATCAAATCGAGGGCTTCTGCTTATATAAAACTCCCTTTTTTATCATCTCCCTGGTTTTTCAACTTTGCAATTATTTTTTAAGCTTAAAAACTTTATATTTGAAGTATTTCATTCTTAGCTGAGAGAAAAAGGAACAGAGTGCCCAAACTCTGAAGGTACAGAATCACAATGACTGAATAAAATAGAAATAAAACAAATCCTAGAAATAAAACAAACAATAATTTCAACTTATCAACTCTATCAGAATCTCTTGGTGCTTACTGTTAATCTTTCCATTGTACTCTTTGGCCTAGCATTGGATTTTTAAAGCCATTATTTCTGTTTGAAGCTTTCTAATATTTCCTCTTTTATCATAAAATCTCATTGTGTTGATTCTTTTTCTAATTCTGTTTAACAGCACACCACTGTTGTTTAAACTCTTCTTCAGGCACTTCAGGGCTGGAGTGATAGCACAGCGGTAGGGCATTCGCCTTACAAGCAGCCAACATGGCCGACCCGAGTTCGATTCCTCCGCCCCTCTCGGAGAACCCAGCAAGCTACCGAGAGTATTCGATATGCCAAACACAGTAACAACAAAGTCTCCAATGGAGACGTTACTGGGCCCGCTCGAGCAAATCGACGATCAACGGGAGGACCTTTACCTTTTACCAGGCACTTCTATTACATTTGAACTTTTCCCAGAAGTGTTTGTTTTGCTCCATCAGTTGTATCAAATTCTTCTGTTTCCCAATTTTATTGAAGTTTATGTATTAACTACCTTGTGTAGAATTGAGTGTCCACCTTTCCCTTGCATGCCATATGGGCCTTATGTTGGGATCTTAGCTGCAGAATCTCCTATTATTTACCCAGGCTACTGTGCTGGAGCGATAGCACAGCGGGTAGGGCGTTCGCCTTACAAGCGGCCAACATGGCCGACCCGAGTTCGATTCCTCCGCCCCTCTCGGAGAGCCCGGCAAGCTACCGAGAGTATTCGATATGCCAGACACAGTAACAACAAAGTCTCCAATGGAGACGTTACTGGGCCCGCTCGAGCAAATCGACGATCAACGGGAGGGCCTTTACCTTTACCTTTACTGTGCTGCCTAATGCCTGCGATACTGCCAGTTCTGCATCTGTTTGGATTATTGAAGGTCTAGTGCCAGCGTAGAGTAGAAATCAGGAGCAGAGGGGCTCCTACTAGAGTTTCCACTAGCTTTCCAGGAGGCTGCTAGTGTCTAACGCAGGTGAGGGAAATGAGTGTCCTCCTTTTCCTCTAGGCCTGTCCCCAGTTCCAGTTTTCTCAGTCACCGCAGATGATCCCTTACCCCCTAGTGGTGCCAGCCCTGTAGCTTCTGTTGCCCGGAACTAGGAAAGTTCTCCCTTTCATTGGCTTGCACCAAAAGGAGAGCAATCAAAAGTGCTGCTGGTCTAGACTTTGGTGAGGCCTCAGGTCAAAGTCCCAGCATCAGTCCCAGGCGAATGTAGGGAGCTGGTTTTGCTGTCAGTAAAAAACAAACAAACAAACAGCAGGGTTGCCAAGCAATGCTTAATGGGGGCCTCAGGGTCTCTCTCTACCAATACTTGAGTCAGATGATTCAACACTCTCATCCAACAATGCTCAAAACACTTTGACCTCTTTTACAATTGAAAGAGGCCTCTAGGTTTTAATTAAAGACTGTTAACACCTTGGCTACCCTCCCGGCACTGACTGCTGCATGGATAGAGTAATCTGCATAACACAGCATCATTTGCCTAGAGGAGCCCCTTTTTCTTGCTTTTTTGGTTTTTTGGCCACACCCAGCAGAGCTCAGGACTTCTGGCTCAAGGTTCAGGAGTCACTACTGGCCGCCTGGAGAGTTGGAGGGAGGGGACTACACAGGATGATGGAGATCGAACCTAGTTTAACTGCATGTGAGGCAGGTGCTCCAGCCCTAGGTTTAACTGCATGTGAGGCAGACCTGCTCCAGCCCTAGGTGTCCATTCAGGTGCAATTTCACACAGTCCCCTTAGCTCTCAAAGCTGGACCTCTAACTTCTTGCAGCCAGGAAACTCTCATTCAGGGCGTCAATCTCCTTCCAAGACAAGTGTGGTACCCTGGCCCCAGGTCTGCCTCCAGGCTGTATGGTGTTTGCAGTCTGTTTCTGGACTGTATGGCATTTACCCTTGCTTGGGTCTGTCTAAGCCTACAGCACATAGCAATGGAACTCTGTTCTGAGTGTTCCACTGTTCTCTGAGGGAAAGCCCTCCATATTGCTCCTAGATGTATGATTTCTCTTTTCTGAATCAGGCTCCAAGTCCCCAAGACCCTCACATGAGCCTGAGTCCTTCAGACATCTCAAAAGCATGCCTGTCAATCACAACCTTCCTCACTCTCACCCGCCACAGCATCCTGGAGATACTGGGTGATCATACATTGTAGTTATTCCACCCCTCTTCAATGTCTCCTGTTATCTCTTCCTGTGAAGACCCTGTTCTTCTGGCATCTGAATCTTTTTCAGAGCCTTTGTTTCTCTCAGTTATCATTGATTGGAAAAATGCCGGGAGGGGAGCCTCATGGTTGTTTTTTTTGTTGTTTTTTTTGTTTTTTTTTTTTGTCTGCCATTGTGCACTGCTGACTGGGGAAATATGTATGCTCTGGAAAGGAGCCTGGTAAATCTGAGATGAAAAATGGGTTAGGACCATGCTCTGAGTCCTATGCAAAGGAAAACTGCATTATTTAATTGCAGTTTATTGAACTGATGCCTTGAATTATCTTTAACATGTTAATTGTGTAGCTTGTTAAAAGTAGCAATGTGATGATTCAGTGGAAGCTTGCTGCACAGTGTCTCTTGTAATAGCTACTTACTGAATTACGAGTTGGCGTTACTAATTAAAAATACATTAAAAAATTTCCATGGGCAGAGTTACTCAAATAATCAGTTACCAAATAAACAACTTTTACTTATCCTTTAAAAAAATGTCCAATTTGATGGAATGGCTTTTATTTTAGAAGAGCTTTAACTTTATAGATTGAAATTTTCTTATGAGCCCTACTGAAAAATGGTTTTGGGTTTCCTCTTCGGCAATATTCCTGCGATTCAGGTAGCTGCAGCAAGGGGATTTTTTCACATCTATAAAACGTTCTGTCAGACTTCAGAATATAATCAAGTTGTTAAATAATAATGTCTATTTATTATTTATTGTATTTTTTTCTCCGGGCACACCCAGAGGTGCTCAGGGCTTAATCCTGGTTCTATGCTCAGGGATCACTCTTGGCTATACTCCGGGGACCACATGGTATTAATTTGGTATTGAACTTGGATTGGATGCTTGCTAGGTAAGTGCTCTACAAACTGTACTATCATTCTGATCCCAGAAATAATAAATGTTTAGCTACTGCTATTATATTTCTGTCACACAAGACCTTGTATATCACATTTTGCATTTGTATTTTAATTATCAGTAATTGTTTTCCAATTTTGACATGAAACCCAGAATTTTCTGCTGACCTCTTTCATGCACTGTAGCTCTGTGCTCCCGTTGTTCGTGGATTTGCTTGAGCGGGCCCAGTAACGGATCCATTGTGAGACTTATTGTTACTGTGTTTGGCATATCAGATACGTCACAGGAAGCTTGCCAGGCTTTGCCATGTGGGTGGGATACTCTCTGTAGCTTGCTGGGCTCTTAGAGAGGGGCGGAGGAATTGAAACCGGGACGCCCCTTGTCGGACACGTGCAAGGCAAACGCCCTACTCGCTGTGCTATGACTCCAGACCTCTTACAGGAATCATTTTAAATCCATATTATGTAATATTAAAGTATTTCCTCTTTTTTTTTTTTGACCAGCAAAGGGCAATGACTTTTAGTGCCTTTGAAGTATGAAGACTTCAGACTTTTATTCCACCCAACAGTTCCTATTTCAGGATATTTGTTATTTCTCTGTGTTGCTTAATTGTCCTGACTAGAATCTCTAGTACAGTGTTGAATGGAAGTGGCAAGATAAAATGTTCTTTATTTGTTCTTGAGCTATATTAAAAGAAATTTTTACTCATCATTATGTGTGATGATCAGTCATGGACTGTTCACGGTATCTTATCAGTTGAAGAAATTGTCTTTTATTTCCTAGCATTTTTATCATTGAATTTTATGGCTTTTGTTCTTCATTTTATTAAGGTAATATATTTAGTTGATTGATTTTTCCAGATATTAAGCTATTCTTGGATTCCATGAAAGACTTCATTTGATAGACTATATAACCCTTATTTTTTCTTAATGTTCATTAGTTTTTAAATTTGGTTGTTAATATTTTGTTCAATATCCAGAGGATACTTGCTTATAATTTTCTTATAATGTTTTATCTGGCAACCTAGTCAGCCACATACAAAGCAAGGGCCTTACCCGCTGTTCTATCTCTTTGGCCCCTAGCAAAAATAATTCTAGAAACAGAATATATCTGAGATAAACCAGAAGGTACAGTACAATTTTTCTAAAGTTTGAATTAATGTCATAAATGACCGATTTAAATGACAGGGTTGCAATCTTTTGTAGCAGGTATATCAATTATCTCATCTCATTTGCAGAAATATAGCAAATAAAAATAACATTCTACAGTTGGGGAAGGGTGTGGGTGCTTGTGGTTGATCATGCAGAGACAACTAATACAAACACAAGCAAACCTGAGTGTTGCACATGGTTCTTACCCCTAATTTCATATGAACCAAGAGAGCTATAATCTCAGTATTGTAAAACTGTGTGTGTGTGTGTGTGTGTGTGTGTGTGTGTGTGTGTGTGTGTAAAAAACAGGGATATAGGGATATTACTCAGGGGTAGCCTGCCCTTCCCACTGTGTAGATGCTGGATTCAATTCCTGGCACTGCAAAATAAATAAATATGCATGCAAAGTTGATAACAATGTTACTTTTTTCTTCCAATTTTCTATATTATACTTTAAAATTTTATTTATTTACTTGGTGCAGGGGGTGGTGGTTGGGCCACACATTCTCAGGGTGCACTCCTAGCTCTGTGCTCAAGGATCATTTCTAACAGTGCTTGGGAACCATGTGCAGTGCCAAGGGTACTGTATGTGGCACTAGGGACCAGGAATCAAACCTGAATTAGTAAGCGCCTAACTGCTGAACTATCTTTCTCTCTGGCCCTAATAGTTAAAATAATATATAAAAATTCAAAATAGGAAATTATGTTTTAAGTGAAAAAATGTATTTCTGTAATATTTGATCACTAGAAAGCTATTTTACACATGTAAATTTGTAACCATTCAATGAAAATAAAACAGCTTTAAAAATAAACACTGTTGGAAAGGTCTTTATTTTCTCAGTCTAATAAAAAAGATAAAAGCTTGCTTACAGGGTGTTGGGAGGTTCCTCTCAGGATGGGAAACGCGTGATGAGAGTAGACTATAGTCCGAACAAGATTGCCACTCAATGTCTCTTTTGCAAACCACAGCACTCAAAAGGAGAGAGGTAACAAAAGGGAATGCCCTGCCACAGTGGTAGTGTAGGATGAGGGGAAGGGGGGTGGGAGGGATGCTGGGACTGGTGGTGGTGGAGAATGGGCACTGGTGGAGGGATGGGTATTCAATCATTGTATAACTGAAACCCAAGCACAAAAATTTGTAAGTCTACAACTGTACCTCATGGTGTTTCACTAATAAAAATTTAAGGAAAAAAAAAGCATGCTTCCTAGGGAATTTTGTTTGTTTATTTAATTTTGTTTGGGGGCCACACCCAATGATGCTCGGAGCTTACTTCAGATTCTGTACTTAGTTATCAGTGCTGGTGGAGCTCAAGGGACCATTTGCAGTGCTGGTTATAGAACTCAGGTAATCTGTGTGCTAGGCATGTGTCTTAACTCCTATACTATCCAGCCCAGGGAATTTTTTTTTTTTGAATTTATGTCTCTTTATTTCTCTCTCAGGAGCAGTTTTGAATCCTTCAAAGCAGAGACTTCAGGAAGATAGATTTCTACACATGCCTTCCATGGTAGAGTGAATTTATATAATGATTCTTGAAATCTATTGTATGTATAATTGAACATAAGGAAAATTATTATATATAGTAAATGCTAGATTTGTGGATACTTTTCAAAAAATAAAAACCCCTTAACTCTCTCATTATTCTTTGTTTAATTGAGAACTCAGGAAATTAGAGATTCATGAGTACTTAACAACTTAAGGGCTTTCAACTCATTGATGTGTCAGAAATGAGTTCTATGAGCTATGCATTTCCTTTACTCAGTTTTTAATTTTCTTTTTATAGTCAGTGTGTTTCATGTTGCTGTTAGTTTTTATCTCAGTGAATTAGGAGTGATCATTTTTATAGATTAGAAGTAATTTAAAATTGACTGTAACTGAAAATGACATTGATACTTTAGTTTTTGCATTTGATATGGAAGCCATAAATTATATGGCAGTAAATACCATTGAATAAAACAACTTTGCTTTCTACTACCTTTCTTCTAAATTATGTTTCACTCATTTCACTGTATAATTCCAGGGGGAGATTTGGATTTCTGTTATGACTCTGTTCTTTTTTGACTTATAAAATGGAATTACTTTAGTGTGTATTTCTTCTCTTAGAAAACAGCCAGTGTCACAGCGGATAATGTTCTTATTCCTGAGCAAAATGAAAAAGGTAAAATCAGAGCAACTTTTCTTTAGCTCATGCCTCTACTAGATTTATTAATGAATCCAGTAGAAGAAATATCTAAAAATGATGTGTCTTATTAATTTATATATAAAATCACAATAAATCTTTTATGAATATAAAAACACTTGAAATTTTTACTGACAGAGTTGATGGATGAAATGTCACTGGTCCATCAAAATTCTGTTGGCCAGTGAAGAACTCAAAGACATTTCTTTTTTTCTGCTAGTGCATTTGTTTTGTGTGTGTGTGAGAAAAAGAGGTAAATATTTTTTAAATTGTGTTACATTTTTCATAGTTTCAGAAATACTAACACACCCACAGGGGTCTGTTGTGGTGACTGTCAAGCCATGCAAGGTCACTATTATTATTATTATTATTATTATTATTATTATTAATTTGTTTTTTGGGTCACACCCAGGGATGCACAGGGGTTACTCCTGGCTCATGCACTCAGGAATTATTCCTGGCACTGCTCAGGGGACCATATAGGATCCTGAGAATGGAACCTGGGTCGGCTGCGTGCAAGGCAAATGCCCTACCTGCTGTGCTATTGCTCCAGCCCTGAAGGTCACTATTAAAGTCCAGTTATTTTTCATGTCCACTTTTCTACTTTATTATCTGGGAGAATAACTTGATTCTACCTGGACACATTCTGATAAACTTGAATGGGAATTTAAAGCTGCGTTACTTGATTTTTCCTATGTGATATGCTGCTTCTTTGGTTCAAAAGAGAATGGGAGAATTTAAACAAGATTTTGACACTCTAAAGTTTAGCAAAAGATAGAAATCAAACAATAAGTTTCTTAAGTTTGGAAATAAAACCAAAAAAGGGACCCATGAGACTTAACTGAGGTTTCCTTTGTCTCTGTTATTGATTACCATTTTAAGTTTCTCTCCAATGGCTAGATAATTATTTTAAAAAGCTGAAGCAACTTCCTAATTAACTCTGAGGAAATAACTTAGATATTTAGAAAATTTGGCAAGAAAGGTGTTTTTATTTATTCATATTAGTATCTCCATTTTTATTATTTAGAAACTGGCGTTGGGTTCCTAGTGGTCTGTAGCAATGTTATGTTAGCCTAATGACAAGAAGACAGAAAAGTGGAAATGTTTTTCCAATTTAGCTCTTAGGCTGAGCCTTTTGGGAAAGTGATAGAATCACAATGGTATTGTTCAAATGTCTTGAAAGTCATCTGCTCAGTGGAACGGAAACCAGACCTCAAATATAATGAAGAGACTACTTGAGGGCTTCAGTTTGACTCCTGGGCTTTGCTCAATGACTCTCTACTGGACTTCAAAGTGATAATTATATGGACATACTGGTTCTTCATAATGGGAGTACAGGATGTTTTTGTTTTGTTGCTTTTGGGGGAGGAGTGGTGTTTGAACCGCTTAAGGAGTTTTGCTGACTAGGTGGTCAAGAGTGACCCCTGGCAGTACTCAGGGGGCTATCTGTGCCAGGGATTGAACTAAGATTATTTTCATTCAAGGCAAACACGTTGCTTCCTGTTCTTTTTCTCTTTAGCCAGAGGAAACAGATTCTTAAAACCAGAAAATTTTATATATTTCTCTGTTTGTTCTTTAGGAATAGTGCTCAAATCTTCCATCAATTTTCAAAATATCATAGAGGGCACCAAAAATTTCCACAAGGACTTCCTAATTGGAGAAGGAGAGATTTTTGAGGTATTCCGAGTGGAGATCCAGAACCGAACATATGCTGTTAAATTATTTAAACAGGTATGGAAAGAATTACTGTCACAGGATATCAGTCCCACTTACTTGTTCATATTCCATATTCAAATGTCATTTTCCATCAACATTGAAAGGAGATGTATTGGAAAATATAAGTTCATAAATGGAAATAATATATGGTCCCAGGTGACTAGAAAAATGAATCCATGTCTTGTAGGAATATAGAAGTTGAATCCTTCCCATCCTGGATGTGTTGAATATGAAACTTTTCTGAACAGCCTTTCGGGTTTTGCTTAAGAGGGTCAGATGTGTCAGTCTGTTTCCGTTTCCATGATGGGTTTTGGGATGGGCAGTATTCACTCTTTATAGGATAACGTTTAAAATTGTCTTCAATCCCAGGTCAGGGGTATAGGAAAAAGGAGGCTTCATTAAAAGTAGCACAGTAACACTCAAAGTGGAAGAGAGTTGAGTGACTGCAGACATCAAAATAGAAGGAGTACCGGGGGTCCAAATGTAGGAGTCAGTGCAAGATTAATATGCATATGTGAACACAAGCACACACATGCAGCTACTTTCCATGCTCTTCGTTATTAGTCAACAGTTATTTAAAGTTTACTCAGCTCCTATGGACTCAGTGCTGAGCTTGCAAAGATGAGTAACCATGCTTGCATCCTCAAGAAGTTCCTAGTTTTATGGGTGAAACATATAGGAAAAGGAAAGACTAGGGCTGGGGATGTAGCTCAGCAGTAGAGGACTTGCCTTGTTTGTGTGAGGTTCTGGGTTCGATCAGTCACACAGGAGAGAAAAAAAAAGAAGGAAGGGAGGGAAGGTAGGAAGGAGGGAGGAAAAGAGAAGGAAAAAGAAAAGGAAAGGGAAAAAGACAAAAAGTAATGGTTAGAAAAGGAGGAAGGGTGGAAGGGAAGGAAGTGTGTGAGGAAGGATAGATAGTAAGGAAGGGAGGGAGGGGTGAGAGGGAAGAAAGAATCTGAAGAATGACAAACACTTTAGCAGAGATTTGCCCAGAGGTCATGGAGCACATGGAAACTAGAAGTGGGGCACATCCAGCACCCAGGAGAGCAACACAAAGGAGTTTGCTGTCATTAACTGTTTTTGGAGTGACTGTATGATGAAGTAGATGTGATGAAGTGACCTTTCAGTTGGATTTTGAAGCATGACTAGAGTTTTGGCAGGCAGTAAAGGAGAGCAAGTGTTTTCTGGGTTGAAGAAAGAGTCGGTGCAAGGCTTAAAGGTGTCAGTATGAGACACGTAAAATAGAGCTTAGTGACAGGGTTGGGAAAAACAGTGACAGAAAGTGGTACTGAAAATATAGAATGTGTTTGTGGAGTTTTTCCTGGGACAGGGACCACACTCAGAGGTACTTAGGGCTTACTCCTACCTGTGTGCTCAGGGATAACTCCTGGCAATACTTGGGGACCATATGTGGTGCTGGAGGTTGACCCAGGGTTTGCTGTGTGCAAAACAAGCACCTTAATTCTTGTACTATTTCTCTGACCCTGTGAATGATTTTTAAATAAAAGAATGGAATGACTAGATTTGTATTTTTTAAAAAAATAACTTTCAGGAAGTAGACTATAGACCGAACATGAAGGCCACTTACTGCCTGTATTCCAAACCATAACGCCCAAAAGGAGAGAGAGAAAGAGAGAGAGAGAGAGGGAGAGAGAGAGGGAGGGAGAGAGAGAGAGAGAGAGAGAGAGAGTAAAAGAGAACATGCCTGCCACAGAGGCAGGAGGGGATGGGGTGGGGGTGGCAGGAGGGATACTGGGAACATTGGTGGTAGAGAATGGGCACTGGTGGAGGAAGGGGTACTCGACCATAGTATATATGACTGAAATGTAATCACAAAAGTATGTAAGCCTATAATTCTATCTCATGGTGTTTCATTAAAAATTTAAAATAAATAAATGAAATAAATAAATAACTTTCAGGGACTGGATAATTAGCTCAGTGGGCTAAGTGTATGCTTTATGTGCAGGAGGTCTGGATTTTCTCTCTGGCATCACATGGGCCCCTGAGCACTGCCAGCAGTGAGCCCCCAAGGATAGAGCCCAGGTTAATTCCTGAGCACTGCTAGGTGTGGACCAAAAACAAAACCAAAACAAAACAGAAATAAAATATATCATTCATTATAGACTAAACAGTGGACTAAAAGCAGGAAGGGGCATTGAGAAAAAGATGGTGAGAGCTAGAAAAATATGATAGGAAGTTATTTGTGTAAACAGAGCAAGGGATAGAGCTTAAACAACTGTTCTCAGCCCTAATATTAGACTTAGGAAGTTTTTTGGGGGGGAAAAAAACCCAACTCCCTTCATAGCTGGTTGGATTAGTGTTGTAGCAGTCGAACTATTACTAAACATCTGTACTTTCACGCAGTTAGTTGAAGTGTAGCCAGTGTTTGAAAACGAATGTTGTGGACCAGGGCAGAGGAAGTTGGGATGGTGAGAGATAGTCTAATAGAAAATATGGAATGGCTTCAATCTGAACTATTTGATTGGATTAGTGATGTAGGGAAGAAGGAGAGGTCTAAGGTGATTCCTACTTTGTTTAGGTTATAGGACATTAAAATGTATTTAAACATTTTTTTTCTTATCCCCAAATTTCATTTTGCCACTTACTTCTGTATGAGCAGATGAATGCTCCTGAGATGGTCTGACAAAGAAAGTAAACAATCTGCTAGAAAAATATTCAACAAAAGTAGCTCCCAAATACTGCCTGGTCTCTCTCCCAAATCAAACAAGAATGGGGTTACTGTAGAGGTGGCCTAACTGAAGCCCATGTCTTAGGACCAATGTGCCTCATTTTATTTTCTTTGTGGCTGAGTTCAGGGCCATATTCCCAAAGTCTCCATCTGTCTACTTTACTCTTCTCTTTTTCTCCAACTCTTATTCCCTTTGGGGAGTTTTTTTTTTAAGTGAATTTTTTTTAAATTTAGATTTTTATTAGTGAAACACCATGAGGTACAGTTGTAGATTTACAAATTTTTGTGCTTGGGTGTCAGTTATACAAAAATATGGAATGCTTCACAAATTTGCGTGTCATCCTTGCACAGGGGCCATGCTAACCTTCTCTGTATTGTTTCAATTTTAGTATATGTGCTGCCGAAGCGAGCACGGGGAGTTTTGTTAAGTTTTAAAAATTTTTAAGTTTTTCTGCTTTAAATCTGTCTTCAGAATGTACTGACATTGTTTCCAGATTCCCTCTCATTTCTACCTCAGAAACTGTGACCATTTCCTTGAATGCCTCTGACCCCTCCAGTGTGGTTTTGGAGACCTCCGATGTATAGCCAAGGCATTACCTCATTGTTGATTTCTTCACAATGAACTGGAAGATTTTCTTAGAGTAGCTCTTATTTATCTTTGTATTCCAATGCCTTATTACAGGGGTCTGGCCCAGATTAATTACTCACAAATATTCGTTGCATGAATTTAAATGAAGTACATATGCTAATCAGTACTAATAAGTTAAAAAAATAGTCGTTAACAAATAGAAGAAAGACCTAGAAACTGTACAGAGTTCTACACACACACACACACACACACACAAGACACACACACACACACACACACACACACACACACACACACCACGGTGAGAAAATTTAATGAAGCTTCATTCAACCAGAGATTTTTTTTTTATAAAAAATGTGTTTTTGTAACATTGGGGTATTAGTTTCAATAGTTTTTCTTAGTGGGACTGAGGGGCGAAATGTATTCAATGTGTTAGATGATTGCATCCGAATCACCTGGAGATCTTACCGTGTTGGTTCTTATCCAGTATCTCTGGGTAGGAAACCCGAGATTCAGCATTTCTCACCAGCTCCCAGAAAAGCTGATGTTTTTGTTCACAGGTCATACTTTAAGCAGCAGAACTGCTAGATTAGCAGGAACACCAAAACTAACCCCTTCATTTTTCAGATTAAGGAAACTGTGACCTTAATAACACAGTTTAACTAGCAAGTGTTAGAGATAGGCCTAAAACCTGATCCACTTCCAGAACTTCCATTGGGGTTGCCTCCCTGTCCTTCTGGTACTCCGATGATTCTAATGTTTTTCCTCTTGGTGTCATCCCCTAGGTCTCTGATTCGCCTTAGAGCTATTTTGAGGTCTTTTCCCATTGTTTGTTGTTACCTATATGATTTCTGTTGCTCATCTTCAAGCTCACTCATCCTGTTTTTGGCTGTCGTCATTCTACTGCTGAGAGCACCCACTGAGTTTTTAACTTCATCTACCGAATCCTTTATTTGTGACACTTCTTTTTGTATCTTTTTTATTTCTGCTCTCATTTCTTCCTGTATTTTCTCGGCTATCCATTCCACTGTTTCTTTTATTTCTTCCTTTAATTTTCTGGATATCTGCTCCATTGATTCTTTGAGTAGTTCCTTGAACATTCTCAGCATTTCATCTTGTAATTTTTTTATCCGAGAGAACATATTTGTGGGTAACCCCTGTTACCCACAAATATGGGACTCTTTTGGGACTCTTTTCTTTGTCCTCTCCTCGTAATGGAGATTTGTGCTGTTTATTCATGCTGTTGTTGTTGGCTAGAGGTAAAGCCTTGGAATTCACTAGCACTGTTCCCTCTTATTGAGGGAAAGGATTCTGAGTAAGGTCAGTCGATGGTGTTCACCCTTCTCCCCTTCTAGAATATGTTCTTCCTCTCAGGCATTATTCTGTGGCTTATGACAGGCACCTAGTAAAGCGTTAGAAGAGGTTCTCTTTTATATTGGGATTATACAGCTTCTTGCGTACTGATCTTTTGTTGGAATTGGAGTAAGCCAGTGGATTATTGTCGTATTGTGGTTGAGGCAGCCAGGACTTTTTCACAGAATTAGGTGATAAAGGCTGGGATGTGAGTTGAGAGTGCTGGGAGTGGGAAATATAACTGCAGCCGAGTGAGCAGCCACCCGCCACACAGAAGGCAGTTCCAGAACTTAGAAATATTGAACTTCCAAGTTTTTAGAGTTTATATTTTAAATAAAATCTTCATAAAATGGCTTATGAAAATAATTTGTTAGCCTGGTTAATTGCTTTGGACTTCTAGATTAACTTGGAAAATAGCTTCTAGAATACTTGTTGATTTCTCTCCCTTCATTCTAAAAACTCTGCCCTTTCTAGCAATTTGCAAACAATGGTCACTTATAACTTATGGACACTAGGACCATACTCAATTTAACTATCTGATAGGAGAAGTTAGGGATCTGAGATTCAGAAATGCAATGACAAGGGTGTATGAAGGCAGAGTCGGTATACAGTAGGGGTCTCTTAAATCCATGGGTATATACCATAAATATTAAAGTGCCAGGTACTGGGCTAGTTTCTGAAGCGCCTTTGAAACAAGGAGCTATATTTTAATTTGTTTAGTAAGCTCATCTTTTCAAAATCAAAACAAAGGTAAAAGGTGGACATATGCAAATTATACAAATAATATATGCCAAATTAATAAAATCACTTCCAACCAGAATACAGCTTTTAGACAAAGAAACAAGTGCTTTTGATATGCCTGTTATTTTCTAGGAATTCTTTAATGAGCCAGAGAGTACCTTGAGATCAACTAAAACTCAATGCTTTGGATCTTTTGTGGGCGACTGGAAGGGGCGGTGACTGGGGGAGCGGCCACACTCAGCGAGGTTCAGGATTTCTCTTGCCTTCACTCAGGAATTGTTCCTGGCAGTCTCTGGGTACTATATGGAGTGCAGGGAGTGTCAGGGAAGGGGGATGGAACTTGAATCAGCCACATGGAAGGCAAGTGCCCTACCATTTTGGCTCTGGATGTTTTAGGTTCTAAATGGGGAGTTTCTGTAACTGCATTTTTTTGACTTTACAGATATTTTTAGTTCATGTGAATACAAACTATGGTTAAAAAAAACCCTTAAATATAAAGCATGTCAACATAACAAAAAACTATGGTTAAAAAAAAACTATGGTAAAAACTTAAATATAGGGCTTGAGTGATAGTACAACAGGTAGAGAGCGTTTACCTTGCACATGACTGACCCAGGTTCGATTTCCAGCATCCCATATGGTCCCCTGAGCACCACCAGGAGTAATTCCTGAGTGCAGAGCCAGGAGTAACCCCTGTACATCCCCGGGTGTGACCCGAAAAGCAAAAAAAAGAAAAGAAAAGAAAACCTTAAATATAAAGTATAGTATGAAAAACTTTCAAATTGAGCAGTGGTTCTGAAACTGTTTTGGGGTAAATGGACTTTCAGAAATCATATGAAATCTAAGGATTCTCTTCGTAGGACGTTGTTCATATAATTTTACGTACAAAAAGTCTCATCTAATTTTATTTTTTTAAGATAGGTTTCAAATTTTTAAAAATCAAATCACCTTGAGAGGGACCAGAGTGATAGCACAGCAGGTAGGGTATTTGGCCTTGCAGGTGGCCAACCTGGGTTCGATCACTGGCATCTCATAAAATCCCCCAAGCACCCCCAGGAGTAATTCCTGAGTGCAGAGCCAGGAGTAATCCCCTGGGTATCACCAGGTTAGACCCAAAAAGAAAAAAAAATTGTAACTATCTGTCTCACAGTGAGTGGGTGTCTATAGAATGTTCCAACACCCAGCCCTTCACTAGTGTACATTTCCCACCACCACAGTGTCCCCAGTTTCCCTCCTACCACTCCCCTCTCATCTAATTTTAGGACGAATATAGACCTTGGGTTAAGAATTCCAGAAATTGAACCCTTTCCTTATTTTTTCTTATTTTTGTTATGATATTCAGGAGAAAATAATGCAGTGTAAGAAACAATGGAAGAGGTTTTTATCTGAACTTGAAGTTTTATTATTGTGAGTATATTTTTTTCTGGAATTTCTCTCTTTGTGCCCATTTTCATCTTTGTTCATCTTTTGATCCTACTGCTTGACATGATTGGCATTTAATAAATGTGGATTGAATATTAGAACATTGAACACATTTTTGACATCTGCTTTTGTATGTTCCTTAGAATACATTTTAAAATAGACCATTTACATAACTCACTTGAACATAGTTTAACAAAAAACTGTCACAAGGAAGTAGGTTAAATAATGTGTGACTAGCATGCTGGATGTAAAATAATTCATAGAAGAGTGGAATTGTATATGGTCTATCATTTTCCTTTCCTTAGAGACCTTCAGTCAAGAAATTGTTTTATCAGTATTATCCTCTCCAAGAAGAGACTTACAGACAAATCAAATGCCTTTGATGTGCATATTATTTTTCTGGGAATTCTTTCAGGAGCCAGAGAGTCCTTTGAGACAAACTGAAATGATTTCATTTTCATATATATTCATATCTGCAACTGTGCAGTCTGCCTCAGTGAAGCCCTCTAACCCTGTCGAGTTTACTTACTGTCCTTTGCAAATAGAGAATGTTATTTTCAAACATTTTCTAAACCGGTATGTGAAATGGGGTACTAGAGAAGGGGGTGGCTGGGGAGATGTTGTGCAAAGTCTTTATCCTTTGACATCAAGGGCCAGAAACATGAGAGCTCCTTCTAAAAACTGAATATGTGTCATTTAGTGAAAAATAATTGAAACAAATTGTATTAGTGTTTTATAGTTATGCTTCATTTATTTGCTTTTGAGTGATAAGTTTAAACATTCCAAAATTCCAAAAGCACAGAAGGAAGACCTAAAGAATATTTGCTTCCACAGTAATCATCCAGCAACCCAGATGACTAGCCCAAAGGCAACAGTTATTAGTCTCTTCTATGTTGTTTCAGAGATATTTTATCCATAAGTATGTATGAATGTTTTCTTATTTTCCCCTTGTTGCAAGATGCAACATAAGCACATTGTTTACTTTGCTTAGTTTAGTAATCTGTTGTATGCTAAAGCAGATGTTTTCAAAGCCAATCCGTGAATTGGGGTGGTGTCAGGGGAATGGAGGGGGGCTTAATTATTTATTTTTGCTGGATTTTTTATTTTTTCTAATATTGAATTACAAACAAAAGTTAAGTAAGCAAAAAAGTAATAGCTACAAGAGAATATTGTGCATACGTGGGGCTGAAGCAATGGTAGAGTGGGTAGGGTGCTTGCCTTATACGTGGCTGACCTGGGTTTGATCCCCAGTGGGATCTCATGTGGTTACTTGAGCCCATCCAGAAGTGATACCTGAGTCCAGAGCCAGGAGTAAACCCTGAGCACAGCCAGGTGTGGTTCAAGATAAAAATGAAAACTGTATATATGTTATGCTCTGTTTGCATGTTTAAGATAAATTCTCACAAATAAAATTTTAAGGTCAAATGGTTATATTCATTATATAATACCCAACTCTTCTTCAAATATTGGGGAATGCCCAATAACAAATCCTCTCTCTCTTGAACATATACTGGTCGTATTTGAGCTCCTGTGTCCCACATTCTAGTCAGCATAGCATTTATTATTTGTCTCTGGTTTGGGGACCATACCCAGTGGTGCTTAGTGCCTATTCCCAGTGCTTGAAGTTGCTCAGCTTCAAGGTTGTTGAAATCAGACCCAGGCTTCCTGAATGCAAAGCAAGTGCTCCAGCCCATTAAATTCTCTCTCCTGCCCTAAATAGTATTTATTTTGTTTTTTGTTTTGGGCCCACACCCCGCAATGCTCAAGGGTAAATCCTTGGTCTGCATTCAGGAATAACTCCTGGCAGGGCTCGAGGGACCATATGGGATGCCAGGGACTGAACCTGGGTTGGCTGCATGTGATACAAATATCCTATGCACTGTACTATCTCTCTGACTCTTAACACTTCTTCTTTATTTTTATGTAATGTTAAAAAATTTTTTTTTACTAAACTGTTCATGATTGGATTCTAGTCATATAGTATTCCACCCTGTAGGCGTCGGAGGCATTGGTGTCCTTGTCAACATGAACTTGGCCATGAGCATTGATTCATTAGAATGCCTACCAACCTGAATCAAACCACATCATATTCAATCAATGGTTTTGCCTGACTGATGCCGGTGTTGTCCCAAAATTCCAAATGGGATCGGACCACCGTCTCCTTCATGCAAAATTCTACTTCACAGAGTGGGGAGAAAGGGCTGCAAAGTTTAAGAAGAGAACTCCCAGAATGACCACCAACTGGGAGCTCTTTAGCACTATTGCGCCAACATGGGGAGATGCCGTTGTTGACAGTATTGACGAAGAATACCATCAACTGGTTCAGCACCTCCATGATTGTGTGAGGAACGCCAAGAGAGAGATAGCCACAAAAAAACACCTGTCTTCGAAAACTCTTGAGCTTATTCGCCAACCTGGTTTGACGCATGCCTCAGGCAACCGCAAGCGAACGTCGTCTGAGCTTGCAAAGCAGTGCAGAGATGCGATCAAGGAAGATCTCAAAGAGAGAAGAGCAGAAGTGCTGGTAGATGCGGCAGAAGCCGGGAAAAGTATTTGTAACACCCGCCTGTCCTTCGCCAACTACAAGACCAAGATGACTGCCCTCCGACATCCTGATGGTTCTATCACATCTTCCTGAAGGGCAATGGAGAAGGTTATCCATGACTCAGATCTCTTCGATACCACGTCCACCTGCCCACATACCAAATTCTGCAGGATGGATATGTCGTTCCCAATGTTCTCCCTTTCAAAATCTGACACGCCATTTCGTCGGTAAAGAAACAAACAGCACCCGGCCCAGACAAGGTCAGACCTGAACACCTGAAGAACCTGCTGTCAGTACTCATCAATATACTAGCTCGGCTCTTCACACGCTACCTGTCTGAATTCAAGGTTCCATCCCAATGGAAAACCAGCAGGACTGCACTAGTGCACAAGAAGGGAACACTGGCAACTATCACCCAATCTGCCTATTGTCTGTCATCTACAAGCTGTTCATTCGAGTCATCCTGAATAGGATTGACAGAACAAGAACACTAGATGAAGGACAACCATGCGAGCTAGACGGGTTCCGCAAAGGATTTAGCACGATCGACCATATCCACATGATAAACAAGCTCATTGAGGTTTCTTGGGAGTTCAAGATGCGGCTCTGTCTAATGTTCATTGATTTAAAGAAGGTCTTTGATTCTGTTGAGACGGAAGCGGTCATTGAAGCCCTAGCCAATCAGGGCATTCAAACTCAATACATCAGCATCCTCCGTGAGCTGTATTACAGATTCACTACCAGGATCTCACCATTCTACAAAGAAGTGATCATCCATATCAAGAGAGGGGTTCGACAAGGAGATACTATTTCACCAAAACTCTTCAGTGCCACCCTCGAGAACATCATATGACGACTGGAATGGGAAGGAATGGGAGTGAAGGTAGACAGTTTGCAACTACACCACCTCTGCTTTGCTGATGACATCGTTCTAATAACACCAAACATTAGCCAAGCAGCACAAATGCTGGCCGACTTCGACCATGAGTGTGGAAAGGTCGGACAACAGCTGAATATCACGAAGACAGTTTATGAGAAACAGCCTCGTTCCTAATGCTCCATTCGCTCTCAATGGAACGACCATCTCTGAATGCAACAGTTATGTGTACCTAGGTCGAGAAGTCAACTTGACAAATGACCTGGCACCTGAGCTGTGCAGGAGGAAGAGAGCGGCTTGGAACACCTTCAAGAGCATCGAAGAAATAGCTAAGAGGATGAAGAACCTCCAGCTCCGGGAACCTCTCTTCAATTCCACTGTTCTTCCTGCATTAACATACGCCTCAGAGACCTGGGCCCTGCGAAAACAGGATGAGAATGCTATTTGGGTCTCCCGAAGAGGAATTGAAAGAGCTATGCTTGGAGTATCACGTTTCACTCAAATGAGAGAAAGAATCCGGAGTTCCGACCTCCATCGACCATCGAGAATCAGGGACGCTGTCTCATTTGCCAAGGCTTCAAAAATCAGATGGGCTGGACACGTAATGAGATTTGGAGACGACCACTGGACTAGAGCCGTTACCGACTGGATTCCACGGGACGTCAAAAGACCGTGTGGCCACCCACCTACCAGATGGTCAGACTTCTTCATCAAAATCCTGAATGATCGGTTTGAGGCTCTTCATGTTCCTAGAACGAACAGATGCCATTGGGCTACACTAGCATGGGACAGGGAGAAATGGAGGCATTACGGGTGCCCGCTCGAGCAAATCGACGATTACCGGGAAGTCAAGTGATCAAGTGATCAAGTGATCAAGTATTCCACCCATCCCTCCACCAATGTACATTTCCCAGCACCAGTGTTCCCAGGTTCCCTTCCATCGTCCCCCACCCTCCACTCCCTGCCTCTATGGCAGGTGCTTTTCTTCTCTCTCTCTTTCTTTTGGGCACTGTGGTTTGCAATATTGATACTGAAAGGTTATCCAGAATATATATCCCTTACCTACTTTTAACCCTCAGCTCTTGTCCAGCGCCTTAGCACTTCACTAATTCTTAACTGTCCGTTTTTGCCAGCTTACTAGCTAGAAGCATTTTTTTCTTATGTTTTGTTTCATTTTCTATTATGAATTAATCTTTTCACATCCTAAGAAATATATTTTATTTCTTTTGTAATATAATATCCTCAGATATTTTCAATTTTTACATTATTTTGTGTTTCTGAGTACCTTCCAAGAAATGGTCAGAGGGTTTGGGAGCCACTCAGGTCATCCGCTCAGTGCTAGGGCTGGGGGAGGCATTATTGTTCAGGCCCCGTGGTGTCATAGACCACAAGGACCACCTCAGAATGGTGCTCAGGAGCCATGTGGTGCTGGGGATCGATCCCCTTCCAGATGCATATGCTCCCTGCACCTTAATCCTTGTACTATCTTCAGTTACTCGCAGTGGTGCTCAAGGGACCAACATCAGGGATCAAACAGGGTTGGCTGCATGAAGAAAAGGCATCTGTACTACCTCTTCAGCCACTAATTCATTAATTCTTACAACAATCCCTTGAGGAAAGTGCCACAGTGTTCCCTATTTGCAGATAAAGAAATAAAAGTTGAGCCTGTTATAAGATCAAATTTATTTCCTAAATCATCATCACTAGACCTTCTCAGGTCTTCTCAGACCTTCACTTATGAGTCAGTTGCAGCCTTCTCCCTATGGCTTTATCTGCCATAGGCACCCAGAAATCCTTAATGAGTTTATGGAGCCCTCCGACTTTTTAGTCACTAGGATGTTAACCTACAAATATAATAAAGGGTCTGGAGCGATAGCACAGTGGTAGGGCATTTGCCTTACAAGCGGCCAACATGGCCAACCCAAGTTCGATTCCTCCGCCCCTCTCGGAGAGCCCGGCAAGCTACCGAGAGTATCTCACCCTCACGGCAGAGCCTGGCAAGCTACCCATGATGTATTCAATATGCCAAACACAGTAACAACAAGTCTCATGATGGAGACGTTACTGGGCCTGCTTGAGCAAATCGATGAACAACGGGAGGACCATGACCATGACCTAGGATCCATAAACTTAAAACCAGAAAATATTTTTCCATGAAATTATTTTATTTCCATTTCACTGACTTCTATTGTGTCCATTTTTCTACTTGATGACCAAGTATTTTAAGTAAGCAAGTAGTCATTTCTGCTTGGTGGGCAAGAAAGCACTCGGGCATGGTTATGACTCTTCACTACTTTCAAAATATTTCTGTATCTTTGTACTATTTTAAGTTCATGAGAATAAACCAACTAGTAGTATAGATCAGCTGTTTAAGCAATCCAACATACTAGCTCATTTCCTTTTCATTATATCACTTTTATGGATACAATTTGAGTAATTATAGTTGCAGCATCTGGTATCCCAGAAGTTTTGACATATTTAAAAATAAAATTCTCTTCCTAAGAGTAAGTAAATGGTGATAAAAATGTAAGTAAAAAATAAGTCTTCCCCTGTGTTTTTGTATATATGTATACATATGCACATACTTCCTTCACTGAGTAAAAAAGAATAAAAAGAATCAGAGATTTTTTAAAAATTTTATTTATTGAATCACCATGAGAAAAGTTACAAAACTTTCAGGTTTAAGTAAGAATCAGAGATTTTATAGAAAATTTTTACTACTGAAGTAATGGATAGGTATTTATAAGTGGGAAAATTTTTTAGTTAAGAAGCCTTGTTTTGTTTTAATATCACCAAGCATGCCTAGACCATAGTAGTTCTATACTTGCTGAACTTAACTACTTTCATAATATGTATGCATTTTATATTTTATTGGGACTTTACAGTGATAACATATTTTCCTTGTTTTTTGTTTGTTTGGGGGCCACATTCAGCAATGCTTAGGGGTTAATCCTGGCTCTGCACTTAGGGACCAGTCTCCTGGTGAGCTGAGGAGACCATATGGGGTGCTGGAGATAGAACCTGGGTCAGCCACAGGTTGCAATATAAGAGCCCTATCTGCTGTATTATCTCTCTGGTCTTGATAAGACATGCATTTAAGATGTAGTTTTTAAGGCAAGGAACCTGAAAAAAGTATAATTACTACACTCACATAGAATTCTGAGATTTAAAAATCAGTGGATGTTTTCATCAGCAAAATTTTACTAGTCATGATGATTTCCGTAATAAGACCAGCTTTGTGGAAGACATAGACTTTCCCTAAACTGTTTTCCTGATGTCTAGTATAGTGCTTAGTTAAATGGTGTTCAATATATAGGCATCTGAAAATAGGCATGTGTACTTTCAGTTTGATGACTCTATTTGTACCCATATACCTGAAACAGTGAAATGAATTATTGTATCTGCATTACTTACTTATATCAATGAGATATATATGGGTCTTGTGTTGATAAAAAGTTAATGTTGAATGATGCTTATTTTTAGAACATTTCTGACACCCTAGATCTTAAATCTGTATTTTAAAAATGTTCTGTAATGTTTGAATACTTTGTTTATATTTGCATGATCACAAGCAGAGAGTGACTAATCACATATTAGAGACCAATTTGGAAAGCAGATCTGTGCAATAATTTCTCCTTTGGCAGATTTATATTCTCCTTTAGACTGATGTCCCACCCATCTTTACTTCTCCTAAGCCAATGTTGCTTATTTCCCATGAAAATAAGCAGTCTGATCTATTTTTCAATCTTTTGTGTCAAGGTGTCATCATCCGAACATACTTGAATTGGTCGCATACTTTACCGAGACTGAGAAGTTGTGCCTTGTCTATCCATATATGAGAAACGGATCACTTTTTGACAGGTTGCAGTGTATTGTAAGTCGAATGTATTCCTCTGCCTGGGGCTTGGATTCTCTACAGTCCTGTGGGAATTGGGAGTCCATTGTGTGATCACTTGAGGGACTGTTCCAATAGGTCTCATACAGAAGTAGAGGACTTCATAAGTTAATTTTTTACTCTTAGGAGGCTGTACATAATCTGAGTTATACACAACACGGAGACCAAAAGACTTGCTGCATTCTGAGCTGGAAAGATAGTTCAGGGGTTAAAACACTTGACTTGTATTAATTGACCCCAATTCCTTCCCTGGAATGTATGTGTTTACAGGGTACCCTAGGGGTCATTCATGAGCACAGAATCAGGAAGAACTCCTGAGAACCAGGGTGTGGCTTATCTCCCCCACCCCCAAAATTTGCTAAATTCTTACACTTTGGTGATTCTTTACAAATTAGTTTATATTGGCTGAATCTATTTCTCAGATCATTTTTATTTGCACAAATTTAATGTAAGTATCATTCAAGATGAAGGATACACATAAAGAGTATTAATTATTCCTTAAAGGAAAGGGGACAGAATAATAATCTGACTTCTATTTTTGAAAGATCAGTTTAAAAATTAATTCCAAGTAAGTTAACTTTCAGGTAGGATGAGGGCAAAATCAAATTATTTTTTACTTATTCACATTACTGTGTAATAAAACACACATAAAAATATATTTAAAAGGCTGGAGCAATAGCACAGCGGGTAGTGTATTTGCCTTGCATGCAGCCGACCCGGGTTCGATTCCCAGCATCCCATATGGTCCTCTGTGCACCACCAGGAGTGATTCCTGAGTGCATGAGCCAGGAGTAACCCCTGAGCATCGCTGGGTGTGACCCAAAAAGAAAAAAAATTAAAAACTTGTTTAACTCTCTATTAGGTATAGTTACCTTACTAGCCACATTTTAGTTAGGCCAGTATTAAAATGGTTGGGTTTTCCCATTGGATATCAAGAGACTGAAGAGCATCTTGAGTCATAGAGGCAAACCTATCTTCAGTTTAAAATAGGTTATGGAAAAAAATCATGCAGTTTACCATGACATGGATGGAACTAGAGGGCATCATACTGTGTGAAGTCAGTCAGAGGGAAAGAGAATAATACAGAGCTCTGTGCCTTTGGGATTTTGGTAAAGGGAAGTGGATATTGGTGGTGGGTGTGGTTTCACTGGTGCATACGTAAGATCATCATAAATAGTATTTTAAATCACAGTACCCCAATTACCCAGCAGTTTCTTTTTGCTTTTTGGGTCACACCTGGTGATGCACAGGGGTTACTCCTGGTTCTGCACTCAGGAATTACTCCTGGCAGTGCTTATGGGATGCTGGGAATCAAACCCGGGTTGGCGGCATGCAAAGCAAATGCCCTACGCGCTGTGCTATCACTCCAACCCCCAGCAATTTCTTTTCTGTTGGAGATCAATACGCACATTGTTTTTACTCAGAAAGTTCCACCCCATATTCGTGGCTGCACATCTCATACCTCACACTGCTCATATTCCAAGAGTAGCACATCATATTTGATGGGGTTTAAAGAAGAAGACAACCAATCTTAGAGGGAAATTTATTTTTACTGGCTGGAGTGATAACACAGCAGGTAGGGCGTTTGCCTTGCACGTGGATGACCGGGGTTCGATTCCTCCACCCCTCTCGAGAGCCCAGCAAGCTACAGACAGTATCTCACCCGCACAGCAAAGCCTGGCAAGCTACCCGTGACGTATTACATATGCCAAAAAACAGTAACAACAAGTTTCACAATTTGTTGTGAGACGTTACAGGTGCCTGCTCGAGCAAATCAATGAACAATGTGAGGACAGTGCTACTGTGATATATATATATATATTTACACACACACACACACACACACACACACACACACACACACACACACAGCTCAACCTTTAACAACATGTTAGTAATCTCTTATAGAACGGCTTAATGGTCCCTGGGTGAAATATAGCAATCTTCACACACTTTCCTCTAAGGAAATTTTTTTAAGCATTTCAACAGTTTATTCACAGCAAAATATATGAAATAAATTTTTTTGGTTCTGCTTTGGAGCAGAGGTTGGTATTTGGGATGGAAAGATCCGAAATGTGGCGAGGTATAATGATGGTGGGATTTGTGCTTGAATATTAAATATAATCAAATATTGTGAACTACTTTATAAAAATAAAATTAAATTAAAAAAAAAGAAATTGCCACCAAGTCAAAGATTGTTCTCTTTTCAGGGTAATGAGGCCCCACTCTCTTGGCACATTCGAATCAGTATATTAATAGGAACATCCAAGGCCATTCAATACTTGCACAACACCAAACCGTGCTCGGTGATCTGTGGCAGTGTATCAAGGTAAATTATCCTAGAACATTGCTTCCCTCACATGCCCCTTTTATTCTCACAGGTGAGTCCGAGTGCACACTATTTCTTGTCTATATTTTCTCTGCTCTGTGTGTGTGTGTGTGTGTGTGTGTGTGTGTGTGTGTGTGTGTAAGAGAAGAGCTCTCATCTAAATACTTAAACTCGTACCTATTTATAGTAAAATTGTATTTGCCAGATTTTTTAAAAACAGTATTTATATTCCCAAAGGAAGAGCTGAGGTAATATTTGGAAATTTGGGAGGGTCTCCTGATAGTGCTCAGGAGTTCCAGATGCCACTTCCAGGAATACTTGGTCTGGTGCCACTCAGGGCAAGAATATGGTGCTCTGGGGACCACATGGGGCTAGGGACCAAACCTAGGGCTTCTGTGTGCCAGGTATGGGCTCTAACTCTTGAGATATCCCTCCAGCCCTATCTTTAAGAACTGCGGAAAGGGCAGGAGCCACCCAGGAGCCTGGGGGAGGGACATTGTCATTGGTGCTTGTACAATGGGGCAAGGAAGTTTATTGCTAGGACTGAAAAATGTGGTGCTGCTTTGGCCTTTGCAATGCCAGGGAATAGCTGAGGCTCGTTTTGTGGTGCTCAGGATAGGGCCCTCTCAGAAAAGGCCATGGTATCAGGTATCAAACCCAGGTCAGTTTCATGAATACAAGCATCCTAACTCCCATACTCTAGGCCTCTTTGGGCCTTTTCTTCTGAAGATAATTTTTATTTTATTATTACTGGGAGAGGGGAAAGGTTTAGGGCCATATCCAGCAGTGCTCAGGGTATACTGGCTTGCGCTCAGGTATGACTCCAGGTGGTGCTTAGGGAACCATAGGTGTTGGTGGGGATCCAACTGGGGTTGATGTGTGTAAGGTAAGTACACCTGTACTTTCTATAAGCCTCTTTTAGTTTTTAGTTTTTTTTAATGTTAAGGGTACTGCTATTTATTCAGCCATTGATTAAACTGATTGAATTGGGCATGAACTCCATATTACATTTTTTAAATCACCATGAGATACAGTTACAAAGCTTTCATGTTTGAGATTCAGTCATACAATGATCTAACACCCATCCTTCCACCAGTGCACACTTTTCACCACCAATGTCACAGTATGTTCCCCCCTCCCCCTCACCACAGACACACCTCTCAGGCCTAATCCTGCCTCATGGCAGGCAATTTTCCCAATACTTTCTCTCTACTTTTGGGCATTATGATTTGCTTGAATTTTCTCATCACCATTCAAGCCTACCTGTCAGGGGCAGATTCTAGATCATTTATCATCTATTGCTCATTTTTAATATCTTGGGTGCCAGAGCCACATGCTGCTGGAATCCTAGATTGTAAATGGTTGGGTTTCAGAGACATTTCTGTAGGGCCCAAATGCATTTTGGGATTCAATTGGGCATCTCTGGACCAGAGCTGTTAGTGCGCTAAAATGGCGCCTGGAGGCACACTGTGGAGGTGACAGCCAGGTCGATGAGCTGGCAGGGAGCGGGGGAGGGACAGCCTGGTGCCTCTGCCGCCATGTGGCATGGAGATTTAATCCTGGAACCCGCATACCTGGGCTTTGCTTTTAGAAGCTCTAGGTTGCCAGAATTCCTTCTGGAGTATGTGGGGAGACTGCACCTGCTCTATCTGGAGTGCCCTGGTAAAATTGGCTTTGTATGGGGCCCGGAGAGATCTCTGGTTCTGTGGTGTTTCCCAGGACTCACTGCTGTGTCTCTGGCTTTTGATCTCTTTCGAGATTTATTTAGGGGTCTCTGAAGCAAGGTCAGTAATAGAGTTTACAGGGTGGCACTGGAGTTGGTTCGTGGGGAGATTACCAGTGCTTCCATGTGTATTGGGAATGGGAGGTAGGTAACCCACCCCAACTCTGTGAAAGCCTGCAGATTACAGACACAAAACATGCATATTCAAATTTTCAGCAGATTATATCTTGGGGAGGTCTGTCCTGAGATGGTAGAGTCAAGTCAAAATCATGGCAGCTATTTTGGATTGTGGAAGCAAGCGGCTGCTGGGGGCTCTGCTTGGGCAGGCACAGGTCAACCTGCCCCCCTCCGATTTACCCCAGTCTGTTTAGCCATGTGCGGGTCCGAGATTAACTGTGGCTGTTGGTCTCTTTCGAGATTTATCTTTGGGTCTCTGAGATATGGTCAATAAATGAGCTTGTATAGCTGAGCCAGAGGTGGTTTGTTGGCGTCACTCCCACATACCTAACTTTTGGCCATTTAATTTCTTGGTAAACTTGGTCCCAAGTTGTTGGGGTCTGGACAAAGGCACAACAGCAATTTTGGGGTGTCAGGAAGTCTGAAGGCACCATCAGGTGCTGATGAACTCACCCCGCAGGTACAGGCTGACCTGTTGGCACCATCATACCCTCCATTTTATTTATTTATTTATTTATTTATTCCTTTTTGGGTCACACCTGGCGATGCACAGGGGTCATGACTCCTGGTTCTGCCCTCAGAAATTACCCCTGGGGACCATATGGGATGCTGGGAATCGAACCCGGGTTGACTGTGTGCAAGGCAAACACCCTACCAGCTGTGCTATTGCTCCAGCCCCTCTATTTTAGTTTTTAAATGTAATCTTTATTTTGTTTTTTAAACGTAAACCTTTCTTTGGGGGGAAGCACACCTGAAGGTGCTCAGGGCTTGCTCTTGGCTCTGCTGTACTATTTCTCTGGCACTACACATCCCCACTCACCTTCCAGTACCACACTCTGGTGCTGGACACATTTTTTTTAAAGGTCAGTTCTTTCAAGGAACTGGGAGAAATAAATACTTTTGGCGTGACAAACTATAATCATTTAGATAATAAAGGTAGACAGAATGCCCAATGAGTGATATAGATACAGTGTACTAAAAGAGATTTGACCAGGGACCAGAGAGATAGGGTAGGGGGAAAAGTACCTGCCTGACATGTGTTCAACCCTGATTCAATCTTCAGCACCACACTTGGGCCCCTGATCACAGAGTCAGGAGTGTTCCAGAACATCTCTAGGTATGACCCTCTCTTTCCCAAAGAGATCTGATCAGAGCCAGGGAGAAGAATTTTAGAGGTAATTGTTAGAGTTAGGAAGAGGTAGGAGTTAAACAGAAAATTCAGCTAACAATACAGATTTTTTTTTCAGTTGGTAAAGGAGCTAGCTGCTCACAACTGTTGCTTTTCTGGGCTTTTGAGAGGGTTTGAGGGTTCAGATAAAACCATGCAGGTTATACCCATCTGGGCGTATGTCAGGCTACAGAGTTGCAGGGACTGATGGTTACCCGGGTGGCGGGGGGGTTGCTCATCAGTGTGCTCCTGGCCCTTCCAGAACAAATCAGCTCCCTCCGCAGCTGCTAACTCCTCATCTTTTTGCAGAGCCTCCCCACCCAGCAAAGATGATAATGAGTACCAGCTGTGAGAGTAGCGATGCTGACATGCAGACCTGTTCCCTAGAAACTGAGATGAGACTAACCCATTTATTCGGGACGCTGAACATCTGTCAGACGACAGTAACACTCAGTCTCCCTGAAGTCCTGGCCCATACTGAATTAGCTGACCTAGATGAATCTCCTTCACATGAACCTGTCACATCACCCTCTATGTGGGCCTCCCAGATTCTTGGTCTCCCGTGTAGAGCCGAGTGCTTTGAAGTAGCTAAAACCCCTATCCCCCCTGCCTGTGTCATATTAATTTTCTAAGCTTTTATAAGGAAAGCCAGCTTCTAGGAAAAATATCATTCTACTGCACAATCCTGGTAATTGGCTCAAAAAAGGACACCCCAACAAATGTTAAATAGTGAATTTTTTCTGTGAGTAAGTCAGGGATCTCTTTTGTTGGAGTCAGAAATAGACAGTATCTTCTTTTCTGCATTTGGACCTCTGAATGATGAATCATAATGAGCTTATAATCAATCATTTGATATTATATTATATTATATATGCCACTGGAGATATAATAAGGGAAAAAACCCAGGCTTTCCATGTATGAGGCTCTGAATTCAGTCACCAGCACCATGCAAAATAAAGTGTTTTTAATAGTTTAAAAATAACATGGAACATTGTGTATACGTGAGGTTAAACAGAAAAAAAAAACCAAAGTGAAGTGCTACTGTATACAATTATTTTTAAATTATTCTTGCTTTTATTTTTGTGTTTTTGGCCACCACCCCATGGTGCCCTGACCGTACTCCTGGCTCTGTGCTCAGGAATGACTCCTGATAGTGCTCAGGGGGCTACCTCTGTTGCCAGGGATCGAACCCTGGTCAGCTGCATGCAGGACCCTAACCCCTGTAACTTATCTCTCCAGTCCGTTGTTTACAGTTATAACTGTAGAACTACAAATTTGCTTATTTTGCCTGAAATGATTAAAACTTAAGCATGCTAAAACATCAATAAGGATTTATTTAGATGAAGAGATTAGAAGACGTGTTGGTAGTTGTTTTAGCTGCAGTGATTGGGAGCCACCCACTGATGGTGCTGGAATCAAACCTTGGGCTTCCCACGTGCGAGCACATACTCAACCACTTGAGCCATACCCATAACTTCTAGATGGCTATTTTTAAAAATGACTTTTTATATATAATTTCCACTGTTGGTTTATAATTTTAATGTATAGACTATGTTCTTATTTGTGGGGGCAGTGCTTTGAGGTCACACCTGGGGGTGCTTAGGAGCTATTCCCAGCTCTCTGCTGTGAAGTGAACCCCGGAGGTGTTCAGGGGACCATTTGCAGTGTTGGGGATGGAGCTAGGGTCTGCTGTGGTGGCTGGTAAAAGACAAGGTAAGTGTCTTACCTCCTCTGCTAGGTCTCTGACCTTGGGATATCTTCTTATAATAGAAATACAATTAATTAGAAAAAAAGAACTTGACATCAAACCTTTCTCGATTTAAACCACATTAAGCTGACTCAGAACGGTTACGCTTACACGTGGGCTGTATAAAATCCGTTCTACTGGGATAGAGTGTAAAATCCCTTCTATTGGGATAGACTAAGGGTGTC